AATGGTTGTCGTAAGATCTTGAAATCCGTCCTAAACCAGACGCTGATGACGAATTCTGGCATACCGCGCGACGACGGGCGCGTGTCGACGTTGTGCCATCTGTTGCAAGGGAGTATTGGAAACTACTGACTTTCGGCAAACAAGTGCGCGCGCACAGCATCATTTGGCGGAGATCGGAGGGGTGATGAGGGGCTTGGCTGGAATGGTCTGCGCTCATATTTGCAATGAGCGATGGGGCAGAATCATGGGGGCGGGGGGGGACGGGTGGTTAGAGCTTCAAGATGGGCCCAGGATGGTTCCAAGAGGGCCCTCGGCAGCCCATCACGGACTCCAAGATGGCTCAAGACAGACAGAGACAGCTCAGCATAGCCTCCTACATACCTCCAAGGGGCCCCAAGACAGCCCCAAGACGGTTCCGAGTGCCCTTTTCGAGCCCTCCTAGACACCCACCAAGAGGCCAGAATCCTTCGAACACGTAAAGAAACTATCTGTGTTGCCTTCTCGCGGTTTGGCTTCCGGTGGGCTCTTGAGGCCTCAAGATGGCCCCAAGATGGCCCGAGGGAGCCCCACGAGGTGCTCAAGAGCGCCTCGAGACGGCCCCAAGGGCGCCCAAGAGACACCCAAGAGCGGCCCCAGAGGGCCCTCACAACAACAGATCTCCAGAGCCCGATGTCTCATATCCCTTGTCATCGTCCGCTCCTTCCCTCCTCCTGTCCTGCCTCATCTTCCCTCCTCCCTCCTCCTCCTCCTCCTCCTCCTCCTCCTGCTTCTCCTCCTCCTCCTCCTCCTGCTCCTCCTCTTCCTCCTCCTCGTCATCATCATATCACCACCACCACCGCCTCCACCACCACCATCATCATCATCATCAGTATCCTCAGCATCGCCATCAGCATCAGCATCATCATCATCATCATCATCATCATCATCATCATCATCATCATCATCATCATCATCATCGTCATCAGCAGCAGCATCATAATCATCATCATCCTCATCATCATCATCATCATCATCATCATCATCATCATCATCATCATCATCATCATACTCATCATCATCGTCATCATCATCATAACCATCAGCATCAGCATCATCATCAACAGCATCATCATAATCATCATCAGCATCATCATCATCGTCATCATCAGCATCAGCAGCATCATCGGCATCAGCATCATCATCACCATCATCATCATCCGCAGCATCATCATCGTCATCAGCAGCATCATCATCAGTATCAGCATCATCATCAGCATCATCACCCCCCGTCCTCATCCTCCTCCTCCTCATCCTCCGCATCTTCATCATCATCCTCATCCTCATCATCCTCATCAGCAGCATCGCCATCATCATCCGTATCCTCATTATCATCCTCATCATCACCATCATCAGCAGCATCAGCAGCACAGCCACCACCATCATCAGCATCATCCTCGTGTCGCATTCCTCCTCCTCCTCTTTCTTCCTCCTCCTTTTCCTCCTCATCATCATCCCCCTCCTCCCCCTTCTCGCTTTTCCCTCCTCCTCCTCCTCATTCGCCTCGTATTCCTCCTCCTGGTTTTCCCCCTCCTCATCCTCCTCCGCCTCCTCCTGCTCATCCTCCTCCTCCTCCTCTTCCTCCTGCTCCTCCGCATCATACCCCCAAGATGGTCCCAGGAGGTTGAGCATGGCGCAAGATAGCCGCATACCTCGAAGATGCCTCAAGACAGCGTCAAGATGGCCCAAGATAGGTGAGCATGGCTCAAGCTAGCCTGCGACAGCCCGAGCATGGCTCAAAATGGCCTCCAAGGGGCCTCAAGAAAGCCTCCCATCGTGGCTGGATGGGTTGGTGGGGGCACATGAAGCGTCAAGGATTCTTTTTTTTTTAATAATAATAATAATAATAATAATAATAATATAATATAAAAAAAAAAAAAAATGCAAGGCGGCGACGGGCGACGACGGCGACAACCTGGCCGCCAGACCGACGGTCAGGCCCAGGCAGGGATGGCGACGAGGCGGCGACGGGGCAGCGACGGCGACAACATAGCCGCCAGACAAACGGTCAGGCCCAAACGACGCGCGGCGACGAGGCGGCGACGGCGACAACATAGCCGCCAGACCGACGGTCTGGCGCAGACGACGGGCGGCGACGAGGCGGCGATGGCGAAAACTGTGCCACCAAACCGACGGTGAGGTCCAGGCGCCGCGCGGCGACGAGGTGGCGACGGGGCGGCGACGGCAACAATATAGCCACCAGACCGACGGTCAGGCCTAAACGATACGCGGCGACGAGGCGGCGACGGGGCGACGACGGCGACAGCATAGCGCCCAGACCGACGGTCAGGCCCAGACGACGCGCGGCGACAAGGCGGCGACGGGGCGGCGACGGCGACAACATTTCCGCCAGACCGATCATTGGGCTCAGTTCCCTTGGACAACAATGTAAGAATCCCTAAATGCAAGCACTCTTCGGGGAATGAAAGCAAGCAAGCAGCTACCTGGGGCTTCGAGAGGGGCCCTGACTCAGGATCCGCCGTAACTTTCGTTAATTTTCCGACTTCGAAAAGTGTCGGAAATGCGCCCCAAAGGATGCGAGAAGGCAGGGTGGAAATCTCCGCCTCGGCCACCTTCGCATAAGTATGGCGGAAACAGCGACGTCAAAATAAGGCAGAAGTCGACATCAAAAGAGCTTTCAAAGCACGGCGGAAATCTCCACCCTGCTTGTGAAATCGCCCCATATACTGCGGATCCGGAGTCAAGTCGGCGTCGCCAGCGCCGAAATCGCTCGAGAATCGGGATCCCAGGTTTTCGGACATATTCTGGCCTTCTGGGGCCTCAAGCGGAGCCCTCGCAGCCAATACAGGATCCGCAGTGACATTCTTGGCCAGAACGCGCCTCAGGAAAGGACCAGCGGTCGTCGTCATCGTCGTCGTCGTCATTGAACGGCGTCGGCGTCATCGATCACCATCGTCGGCGTCGTCGTCGCCAATCGTCCTCGCCGTCAGTCGTCGTCGTGGGTTGAAGGATGTAGACGCTTCTGGAGGCCCTCGTCGTCGGGCCCTGCCCGCAGCTCGACGAACCGGCCAGGATGGACCCAGCGGGAGGCTTGGGAACCACGGCGGGGAGCTCCCCCCCCCTTCCCCTCCTCCTCCTCCTCCTCCCCCTCCTCCTCCTCTTTCTCTTCCTCCTCCTCCTCCTCCTCCTCCTCCTCCTCCTCCTCCTCCTCCCCCTCCTCCCCCTCCTCCTCCTCCTCCTCCTCCTCCTCCTACTCCTCCTCCTCCCCCTCCTACTCCTCGACGAACCGGCCAGGATGGACCCCAGCGGGAGGCTTGGGAACCACGGCGGGGAAGGGGGGGGCGAGGGGACGGGCAGCTCCCGCCCCCAAAGCTCAGACCTGCCCCTCCTCCGAGGCGTGGGGCGGGAGGCCGCCACCACTGATGGGCCGATCTTCCACCACCACTACC